AAGAAGAAACTGTTAGTTTAACAGCCTGCCTGTCCAATGAGATGCTGGGAACGAAGGCCACCAGTGACGTCACCAGGGGCGCTTCAAACACAGGTGTAGTGACAGTCTTTAAAATAAAGAATAAAAACAACCAAGGATACACAAATCCTCACCACCGACTGTAGAGCCAGAGCTCTGTGGTTTTACAAAGTCTACAAACACGGTGTTAAAATGATGAAATACATCACATATCGACACACTAATCAACAACTGAAAACACTTCCTTAAATAGTAGCTAACACTCCTTCCTTTTTAATAAACATGTCGTATTAGTTCTCTTCCTCTGCCTCCTCTTCTTGCTGTAGTAGTAAATATTTTCACACAGATATAAAGAACAGCACGTGTTTTTAGGAGAATACTTGTGTACTATTGTTTTATTTTATTGATTTTTTTTACTGTTTATTCTTGTTTAATCTCAGCTTGTCTAAGATTTTTTTGGAAAGTCTAACTGTCTACCTAACAATTTAAAAACATCTACCCAGGTAATGTTTTGTGGAATTGGTCGTTAGTTGCTGCTCTAGTCTCGGGTGACCGAGAGTTTTGGATGAGCAGCTTCAGCAGCCTCAGCTCACTGACACACGGACTGAGTCCTTACTGCTGACGTGTTGCGCCGGCCCATCTCTCCATAGAAGCTGTGGCGGCCACACGCATACGCGCGCGTGCACACTCTCTCTCTCACACACACACACAAACATCTGTGTCAGTTAAATCACCACATAGACATTTGTATCATTTTCTGACCACGGATCACACTATTATTCACCTCCACCTTCTCAGTGTGTTCCACATCAGCCACCCCCCCCCCCACACACACACACACATCCACAGACTCGGGATTATTTTTTAGTTGAATAAAACCACGGTGTTGTCGTGTTCTCACCGTGTAGTGGATCTGCAGCGTGTCTCCCATCGAGGAAAGTACGGAGCAAGTTTCGGGTTTCACCTTGGATCGGGAGCAGAGAGACAGATTTACCACGGGTCGCTGTCATTGTGTTCCACTCGTGTCGATTAACACGCGTGTCCAAACTCACCAGTGTCTCCACCAGCAGCTCCTCCACCGCCTCATCGTCCTCCTGTGCGAGTCCACAGGTGAATGCGGCGATCAGCAGCAGCAGAAAAACGCTGGTCTTCATGGTGAACTTCATGAACAACAACTTCCGCCCGTGCGACTGTGTTCGGCAGAGGGAGAGGCACAAAAGAGACGCCGAGGCTCACGCTCGATTCCTCTGTTGAATGTGGCTCAGCAGCAGCTAATGCTGATGTGTTAAAATACTGCAGCGATAAGGACTAGCAGCCTGTGGACGTTGTCCCAGCACCTGGGTCTCCGCAAAGAGCCCGCCTCACACATTCTGCCAGCAGCATCCCATCAGGCCAAGAGGGAAAGCGGAAGCGCTGGATTTGTGTGAGCTGAGCCGCTAGAGGGCGCTGTTGACAGCAACATCTCAGACCGCAGAAGCAAACCTCGCGTTTTGACAGAGAAAGCCACGTCACTACCAGTCCTCTCCGTCCAACATAGTTCTCTGCGTGACCGTATACTGTAAGAGTTACACTCACACAGATTCCCCGACTCAGGGTCACCTTCCTAAATGATGATACGGGTGTTTAACTGCTCATCTATGCGTTATATACATTTATTTATCTAACTTGATCAAAATGTTTTTTGCAATAAATGATCAAATATTTAATTATTTCAAAATGTTTTGCAAAGTATAATAAATATTGAAGCAAGGTGTCTTAATATAATGGTAGATTGAAAAACCTGATATCAGTCTATTTTCTACTGGTAAATAATTTTATAATCTGGGAATTTACAGTTTTGGGAAATTATTTTTGATGGACAGTGTGCCATATTTTTGTTTTTTTTAAAGAAAATAAAGCATAGCATATATTTTATTTTAAATCAAGCAAATGTGCTTTTTTAAATCCATCAATAGATTCATTTAAAAATTATGTTTTTTAATCAATTTATTGATTTACCCAGTATACAAACTGAACCGAGCCATCTGTAGATAGCAGTAAGGTGATATAAAAACATTTAGGCTTTTATATTTAAACATTTGAATGGATGATTATTCATTTTAAAAACATTTTTTTAAGAAATGTGATTTGTGATGTATGTGTATATTCACACAGTTAAATGTCTTATTACGAATAAAACTATGGATAAAAGTAGAAGAGAATAAAGAAAAAATATTTTTAATAACATTGTAGGAACAATAGGGCCCGGAATGACGACATATAAACCCACAGTAATGCAACGATTAAACGGTTAATTCCATGGCATTCCATCCGCTATCACAAGTATGGCTTGTGTTTGACGTCTACTATCGCGAGACTTCATTAAATGCTGAGTTGTACCCCCAGAAAATATCGTGAGACATTCACTAGAGGACTCCTCGGCTAAGGTAAGTGAGGACGCTGACACTAAAC